TTTTTTTTTTTTTTTTTTTTTTTTCCTGGAGAAAGAATAAGACTGAAATAGAAAAAATACATAATTGGAAAAATACCCCAAATTAAATGTTATGCAGAAAGTAAGCAATTGTAGAAAACGATGTTGCCAAATAGCAGACAGCATTCACAGCAGAAAATTCAAACAGATGTAGCCAAAGCAACTGCAGAAGAATGCAAACACAATTATATATTATGATTATATAGCTAGAAGAGCAGTAATAAGAAGAACAAAAGATACATTGTTAATACAAATTATGGAGTGGGAAGAATTACACAAAGTCACACAATGAAAGAAAACAATGTATCTAGTGAATGAGTTTACTTAAAAAATAATAAAATTAAAATGCCCCACACCTAGAAATGCAAACAAAAGGAGTACCGAGGAGAAAATGACACCAGAAGGATGAGAAAGATGCAAAATAGAAAAGATTAACAATGGAAAAAAGTCATGGAAGGCCACAGAATATTTTCCAGCTTGTTCTGGAGGTTGGATTTGGAGTAAAGAAGAAGGTGGGGTATTTATACCACATAAAGTCAAACTTTTAGTTTAAGAAGATAAATAGGGAAAGTAATCTCCTTTTTTAATATAGTTGGTAGACAAATAAGATATAGTTTTAATATAGCTGGTAGACAAATAAGATCTTTCTCTAAACTCCTTCAGGAGCTACTTACTTCTTTCTACAGGTTAAACAGGGAGTCCAGAAGGTGACAAGTGGCTGCACCAAATTAACAGTTCTAGTCCTGCCCCCCTTTCCAGCTTCTTTTCTTTTCCTCCCACATCTTTCTTGTGTTGCCTCTGGAGTTCATCTGACTGATCTCAAGGTCAGACAACTAAACTCACTAACCTGGCAAGAGCCTACACCTTCGGAAGGTGGGCAAGGAGACTTTTTGTTGTTATCAGGTGGAACAGCCTGGCTCAGGGTAAGCAGTGGGATCCTGCAGCCAAGAGCAGAGAGGGCTACAGGAGAAGGGTGGAGGGAAGAGACAAGTCCTTTATGACAGCATCAAGCTTTTAATTTAATTTAAGATATCCCCTGAAGTCATAGGGAGCCAGTTTTGTAGCTTAACCACCTTAGCTAAATACCTGAAGTTAGATGGCAAGAACTGCACCACTGCCATATAGAAGAGGGGCTAATAGTATTCTTAAGCATTTTGCAGACTTATATTTTCAGATTCTCACATCTTTTCTATTCATGTTAACCAAATCATGCCCCAAAAAGTCTGAGTGAAGTAGAATTAGTAATATCCTCAACTGCCAGTCTTTCCTTTCCTATTTTGCTCCACAGCACTGCTTTTTTACTGTGGTACTTGAAGTATTATACACTTTCAAGAGAAAGCTACCACTGCATTTGCAGACATTTGTCTTTTATTGCAAATCTCAATAAACCTGTTGGGTCTGTTGGGTTTTATTTTTAATCTCAAAACCTTACATTATGCAAATAGATCAGAATCTGCATTTTCAGATTTTCATTTCTCGGTGGTGTTTACCATTTTCTTGTTTGGTTACATATGAAAAATTTCCCTGCTTGTTTAATATGCCTTATATTTGCTTTGATATACTTTAGTCATGAAGGCTTTGCATGGTATTCAGACTAAATTTAGCCAGTTTAATACTTTTTTTTTTTCCTATTTCTACTATCCTGGCTGCTTGCAGCTATTAAATGAAGTTTGAGCAAAGGTGAAATGAGGATTTTACTGCCTATAGGTACAGAAGTACAAACAAGCTACCCCAGGGCATGCTAGGGTGTGAACATGCAGCACATCACATGCTCTGCAGAAGTTGTCTGCAACCTGTTCTTTCTCTAGTTTATTACGTGCTATTACTACGCAAAAAAGTTTTTTTATGATACTTATGTTAGCCAACATGAACCTGTGTACATTATATACATATTCAGGCCAGGTGACCATGCTGGGCCCTTCTTCCTTAATGCACAAAATTATTTCCTTCTGGGAGTTACAACTTTTGAATATCTTGAAATAGTAGATGCATCTCGTATTTCAAACACTTCCACACATGGCAATAGACTACACGTGAAGAAACAGTTGTAGGTACCAGAAATAACATTAGGCAGTAAATACATGTTAGGAACATTCTTCCAAAAGAAAAGAAAAAAATCCTTGGAACCAGCTTTCCCTTTAAGAAGATTTTTATACTCTAGGACCTCCGAAAATTTAAACATTTGGCACATACTTAAATTTAAGCTTGGGAGTGGTCAGATTAAAGTCAATGAGAGTAAATAATGCACACAACAGTTATGCAGGAACAAACTCCTTGCACAATTAAGGATTTTCCTTGCTTTTATAACATATATACCTGATTGACTTATAATTTTAGTAAAAACAATGTATTTATCCTGTAAAAAAGCATGGCACTATATACACAATCTCTCTACAACTGTGCATGTGCACGTATACAGGTGTGTGCACACAAACACAAACTGTTCCTGTGCACTGACTGGTTCCTTGTGGTGACTGAGCAGAAGGTACAACGATGATTTATTACCTCGTTATATCTTCTCTAAATACGTATCATCCTCTCTCTATTATAGTGAATACATGAATATTGCAGGTTATGAAAGAAATAAATGCCAGAGGCAATGAGATAGGCACGTTACATAAAACTGCAAGCTCAGTGCAAGAGCTATGTGTCATCTGCAGCATCTGCCCAGCTCAACCTACTGAGCAACAGGGTGAAAAATGGAGAGCTGTGAAGGCATGAATAATACGTCAGAAAAATTAGCTTCTCATGGGATTGTTTTTTTCTAAAAGCAATGATTCATAATGGGCAGTCCAACTGGAGACAACATTTAAACTCCTGAAGAAAGCTGTTTATGATAAATACCTGAAAATAAGGTAATACTTGAGATAAACACCTTGTAGACTGAGAAGGAAATCCACTCTAGATGGATGTATAAGAGATGTGGCCTTCACCTTCTTTGACTTCTCTGAGGTACAAGTTGTCCAAAACTAAACTCATCTACAAAAACTCTGTCCTGTACTATAGTGGTCATTACATCCAAATGGGAATATATACCCAATTTGAAATGTAATTTTAGAAGCCTGGTGTTAAAACAACAAATCGTGATACAGAACACCAGAAAATATACCTTCAGGAAGTAACAATCAAGGATGGTAGAATAGAGGTCTTTAATACATGAATCATCTTAAAAATCAAAGCTTGTATTATCAATGAAAAATGTTAGGCTTCCTACTGCATTTGTAATTTGTTGTAAGTCTGAGTCTACAGTGGTTTTTTTGTTCTAGTCTGAAACTAGAATAAAAACCAGTCCTTTTGCTCTGTTGGCTTCTAAGACGTCTTAAGGCAGCCTCTGGGCTCATTTCTAAAAGGAAAGATTATATGTGATGGAAATCAACAACTATTAATGTATGATCTTCTCTGTAAGTGTAAGTAATAACTTGGGATTCCATTCTGACCTCTGAGACATGTTGAAATCAAATTCCTAAAGAGTAGGTGTTCACTCTGAAGACTGTTATTTTTTAGTTTCTGCAAAATGATTTTTCCAGACAAAAATTGCTGTTTGAGATTACTTTGTGACGACATATTCATTGCTTTTGTTTAAAACTTCTTCAGAAACTTTCACAAGCAAAAGCTGAAACTTGTGCTTCAATTAAAATGTGGGAAGCTTTGTCTGTAAAGGTTGATTATTGATATAATTAATATATACTTTATATATATATATAACTCTTTGTTCATTCTAACTATACACTGAGAAAATGTTACTTTTTAATATTTAATGTATTACTTTAATGGAACTTTCTCTGCTATTTTTAGTTTATTCTTAATCCCAGAAGCCACTTGCAAAACCTTACTAAGTTTAATTCCATATAGTTTAAGAAGACTACCTTCCTGAAATATCAATTCTATAAAAAGCCAACGGTCTTTTAATAATAAAATTTTTGAACTATTTTGCCTACCTGTGCTGTCTGCTGATAATTTTGTTAGACCTAAACTTAACTATGGCAATATATTATTGCACTTCCCTGACACTTCTTGTGTGGCCTTGAGTACCTCCCTCCCTTTGCCTCCCATTTCTCCCCAGTAAGCTGGGAGTGATCCCAGCACAGCCCAGTACCACAAACAGCACGGCCTCTGTCCCTTGTGCAGAGGGTTGGTGCTTGCACGCGGGGCACCGAGGCAGCGTCCGCGCCCCCCTCTCACCTGCGGCCTGTGTTTTGAGGCACGAGGCATTTTGAGGCGTTTCTACAGAAATGTGTTATATGAAATACAAAACTGAACTCCTTGTCCAGAATCATCAAACATCTAAAGTTTCTAGGAATGTGAATTCTACTCAGAAAAAAACACAAACAGAATTCTTCTTCTGAGATGTAGGTAATGTGGGGGCATGAAAAGGAGTGCCCTCCTGACCCCCAGCGCATATCCTGGGGCGGTAGATAGAGTTACTGTGTATCCTTACCTTGTATACCTGGTCATAAAATTACAGCGTTTTAAAATGCCCACAACACTACTAATTTCCATGAACACCTGCAGCCCTGGTTTCCATATGCAAATTATAAATTTAGCAGAGAAATGCTTCTTTACGTTCACTGCCTTTCTTACTATGGCGTCCCCTGTTGTCTTGTTGATCAAATGGAATCTCCTCAATTCTGTTAACTACTGCAAAGAGGCAGTTTTCCATTTTCTGAGCCTCTTCTTCTACAGGTTAAAATCCTTCTTCCTTAGAGGAGAAATATTTTTATGCTGTATTGGTTTGTTTGCTATCATGTAATTGTTAATTACATACCCAAAGCTAGTGTTTAAACAACAGATTTTAGAGATAGATAATTAACTGTTCAAAACAGTTCACAATGTCATAGAAAAAAGAGATAAAACCTAAGGTTTTCCTGCCATTGAATTTTTTAGTAATTACTGTTCCTTTACCACAGCTCTTTGGGAATTGAATAAACTATAATATCAATTGAAATATGGTGAGTTTCTAGCTCAGGAGGCTAACCTTTATCTTCTGATTCAGACAAATCAAATTGGGTTTCCTTCTTTTTTGTAGTCCACTTTACAGAAAGATACTGATCTGAGGCCCGTCTCCACATCAGAGGCACAGCCTGTGGCAGGGATGACAGACACCACCATTCTGCTCCGGAAACAGGAATGGTGCTGAGGGATTTTGCATGTGGAAAGGGAAAGGAGAAAGAAAAGGAAGTGGTTTTGGCCAAAGTAGCTAAGGTGAAAAATAAACCAACATTTACACTTAGGCTGAAAGTATGAAATTTCACTTCCCAGGCTTATCAATGCCACACTTAGTGTGTTTAATTTTGCTTGTAAATGTAGGAAATGAGAAGGGAATTCCTTTGCGTACAAGAAGTAATGGCAAGGTGGGACCTTGGGGGTGTATGGACTGGCCATTGTCTCACTGTTTCTCCGACACCTGAAAAAGAGCTAGAAAGGAGAACATCCGAACCAAACTCACCACCAGGGAGCTGGGTGGTTTGGCAGCCACACGGGCACCTCCTTGACCTCCTTCCGAAATGGTGTGCCCAAGCCTTGGTAAACATGCAGGAACTGAGTAACCACAGCAGCAGCTGGAGCACAGAAAGGGGTGTCACCTCCCCGAACGTAAGGAGGAATGGGTGTGAAGGGAGTGTAACAGAGAGTGTGCTGGCAGGTCAGCTCGGGCTGGAGTCCTGTCACCTCCTGCTGCTCCCTCCCCTCTCCCTAAGGAAAGCGGGAAAATGCTCTGAGGGTTCCTAGTTTGATTCCTTTTGATATAGCTTAATACTTGTGAATAACACCAGTGATTCAAAAGATTAAAATAGCATCATCACCTCCCTGTGAAACTATCAGTGTGCCCAAAACTGTTTATGTGTGTAAAATTATATAGCAACAAGGAAACGTACTTTATAGCTAATGTAACATGAATTTGTTGCTTGGGAAATGCATCATTATGTTTTCAGACACATACCAAGCATTTTTCTCTTTTTTGCTATTGTGCTCAGGATGCTAAATATTTAACTTTATTCAACCAATGGCACTCATCTAAATGAAATGAAAGATCATATCACATGGCCAGTCTTACAGTTACACTGGGCTATTTAATCATCTGCTTAACTCCAGTCGAAGTTCAGTGATCCAAAGCAGGTGAAATTCTGGGTGCAGTTTGTGATAACATCTTTGTGATCAGAACACTGTACGCTTTCTGAGCTCTTTCGCTGATAGAATTTTCAACAGTGAAAAGTTAAGACTTAATTTTCTGTATCTCAGAGGAATTAAGCTACTTCCCTGTTTTTCGAACCCAGAGAAACTGTGATAACACTTCAAGATGTTAGGAAAGAAAAAGGATTAGATGTTGGAAGAAAACTCTGAAGTTCTTATATTAAAATTATTTTTCGGATGCAATACTAAATTTATGAGGAATGTAAATATCAGTGAAAAAGTAACAACCTTGAAATGTTAAAAAGCAAGAACAGCAAAGCCTTGTTCATAGACAGACTCTAAAAGCATTACATATAGAAACTAAACATTGCAAAAGAGAAAAGGGGAATGTGGAATCAAGTCTCTTTGATTCTATTTTCTGTTTTACTCTTAACAGTTCTCCTTTTTTCTTAGAGGCAAAGCTTTTGTGACTTTCTTATGAACATCTTTAAGATTGCAAAAACTACTCCTAATTTTATCACAATGAAGTCAACATGTTTTGAAACTTTTTGAGGGCATCTCAAAACTACCAAGAGCCTAGAAATCAATGCTATAACCTGGGATGAGATGTGAGCTACTCAAATTCAAGCGTCAGGACCTAGCTCAACATGCTTATTGATTGTTTTTTTTGAGGGGGGAAAAAAAAAAAGTAGTTTTCAGCATAAGCTTTTCACAAACTGGCATAAAGTAATTATATTCTGTCCAAAATTCTCGGCCTGCCCAATCTATGCCATGTTTGAAATAACTCAGGCTTGGGTTCCTGAAAAGTAAGAAAAGAACCAAAGAGATCACCCTGAAATGAATAGGCCTTGGGTGATTGATATACTGTTGTGGTTTTCCGTGAACCTTTCTGTCTCAATGACCCGAACCTTAAAACAGGGTTCACAACTGAAACAATCAACAGAGTACCTCACCAGCAACTTTGAGTATCATAATTAGGCATAACTCTTTTAAATGGAAGAGCCACATGGTGGCAGGAGAGGACAAGGCATATAGAAAGATTGCTATGCTAAATTCTTCCTTCAGTTTTAACTGCATAATGCTCACTTTCACAGCACAGCTGAAGGTTCGCAGCTATAGTTTTATATCTGACGAACAAGAATATAATTAATCAGTTACAATGTTTAAAAATATGTCCATGACTTCTAAGTTTCTGGTATTACCCACCAAGTCCAATAGGGAATTATACAATGGATGTTAATATTACCATAACTGATGAAGTTCTGTTGGTACAGTTAGGATACGGAATCTGCAACGTGATTTTAGATTCTCTACACTGCCACATCTTGCCATAGCATGAAGTGTCAATGGCTAGAAGTGATCTTCACATAGCTATTTTCCTATTGTCACTTTTATGGTGACGCTACCAGGTTAATGACAGGCCATAAATAGTGCTTCAGGTTCACAATTCTCTGAAAATGAAATACTGAACCCTTTGTTTTTTATGTGATGTGATACATCATGAACAGGTCCACTATACAAAACCAGGAAGTCATATTTTTTTGTATGAAGATCCACTGAGAGTAGTACAAACTCCTAATCCTCTCATTTAAGACCCTCTGAACAGCCTCTTCACTTCAGTGTATTGTGATTGTGGATGTCCATAATGTTTCCAGACGTTTCAGTACTGTTAGCACTGTTTTCTAGTTAATACCAACGGAAATAATGATGCACTTAGTTGTAGACATTGTTGGTACTTACACAATTGCAGCCAAAATTGGTGTGTAACCAGTTACCTTTGCAATCAAATGCAGTTCAGATAGCTGATTTCTATTAAATTAAGAATAAGTGGATTTTACAGTTGTAGCAGATATATAATCTTCCTAACTTAAGAGTTGTGACTGTTGAGCCTGTACTGGAAGACTTTATAGCATGCTTTCCATTAATTCCATTGCTTAAATCATTGACTTTGCACATTCCATAAAAATATTTTTCTTATAATCTGAACCTTTTTTTCCATTTAAAATGCTGAATCTTTACTAAGAACTACCAGCATGGCTTTTAAAATAATTGACTTAAGGGGAAAGAAGACAGGAAGGAATCAAAGAGCATACAATACTCTTATCTCCATACCTATCAGTGCAAGCATTTTCTTAGTATTGTACAGTGTTGTAAAGTTTCTGAAATCCTGGTGGCTGTCATCGTAGCCCTGGTTACACCCAACTCTGACACTAACAGGAGCTGCACAAGCTACTCACCCTCTCAGAGGACAGGGTTATGTCTCTCTAAATGATGTTTTATTGGATTTTTTTTTCTTTAACCTATCAACAATCAGTGGCGATCTAGCTGAGGAGTTTTCTAATAAAGAACTCTTTTAGTCCTTAACTGATCTGACACACATGCATTTATAAAAACCCGGAACTGCCTTGCAACAGAATAGTTCTCATTTCCCTCTCTGTTCTCTTTGTATACTCAGCTTTCATAGCTGAACTTCTCAATTTCATTCTACGGCCGTATTCTTCATAATAATCTTAACTGATTTATTTCTTCACTTGCTTTTCCACTCTGACCAAATTTAATTTTTTCCTTACTCTCCCCTTTTCCCTATACATGCAGAAAATTGAGTAATACAAGATTTGTAGGATATAAAACCAGAGAAAAAACTTCAACATTGCTAATATTCTCTAATTCAGCATCTTCTAAAATATTTATTATGGATCAGACTCTTGCTTGAATGTGAAAGAATTGACATTAGTCTCCATGTCAGTAGTCTCCATGACATCTGTTAGCTGCAGGTTCTTCCACTCCTTTCACCCAAGTCCTGCATGCAAATCATTCTTTTTGTCCTGTCATTAGAAGTCCTAGTAGTTCCATAACTGCAGTCTTAACTCTCTTTAAAATCTCTCTTAACTTTTGCTTTACTTCTTCCTAAACAATGTTCTGCTGATTTTGTTAAAGAAAAAAATATTCTTTAGTATAATGCATTGGCCCATTTCTGCCTGCAAACTGTGATTTCTGTGATTTCCCGTCTTACCTCTTAAATTACAAGTTGCCTCTAAATATCCATGAAGCTCTACTGTTTTAATCCAGACCTCTGTAACAACTATTTTACCATGATGCTCACAGAAAACTTGTCAGAAGGCAACTAAAGGTGTGAGACTGATACTTGTTATTTGTTTGTTTTTGTTTTTTTTTTAAATCCTTCTTGTATACTGGCTATGCATGAACTAAAAATACTTTAGGCTCTCCTTCAATCCTTTTCATACAGCATGAATTCACTTGATGCAGCATGATTCTACTACAGTAAATGTGATACATTCCTGATATATACCCATGGAATGCTCACAGCAACTTTCAGGCAGGGTGGGACTTCCATGTTAGAGATTAACGTTAGAAGATTATTATTTTTTACAAACACGATAAATTCAAACCATCTGGTCACCTCCTAGTACTTGGTGTTCTAAGCAGGGTTGCATTGATTCCACCTCATGTTCCTTGTACTTCAGTGTAATCTGAGGTGACGTCCCCAGGTGACTGGAGCAGCCTGCTCTTCACCCAGCCTTCTTCCTTGCTGTGTCATCAGAAACAGCTCGACACTGAAACCACAGAGACAGACTTCATAAACAAGGACAGAAGTAAGGAAGTAAGAAAAATAAGAGGAACTCAAATGAGATGAAGCCTCATTTTTCTCAGAAGGGTTCGAGTGTCTCAAGAGTTACTGGCAAGACTGCTCTCACCTTCAAGTCACTGTTTTGAACTAGCTTGAACAAACGAGGAAAGTCTTTGCTTTCTATCAGTCTTCCAATATAAGATGGATATGTAATGTAGTCAACAGGAAGCATGAAGTATCACTATCATAAGATGCAGCATTTTGGACCAAACCTATGCTAGGTCTTCAGTACTGCAGTTGTGAGTAAAAAACAGTGAAGAAAATGTAAGAACTGAATATTGAGGCAGAAAATTCATGCATCTACTGTCAAAGAACAGAATTAGAATATAGCTACCATGCTGCTTTTTGGTCTGTTGACCAAAGAAACATGCTCATTGTTTAGCTAACTTAGTTTAGGTCTCTATACTAGGGACTGTAACTTCAGTGGAAGAGCAGCACCTGGTAGTAAACGATTCTGAGTCCCTAGAGTAACAGCTTTCAACTCAAAACTGCCTTAACTGATCATCTTATTATTCCCTGGGATGTGTTTACTGATCTGTGGATGTCACTGGTTCCATTTTTGAGATTCCTGGATGCAGGACGCAGCCTGAGCAGTAAAGTTCACTTGTCTGTGAGTGACAGGATAAAAAGAAAAGAAAAAAGGTCTGACTCACTGTTCCTTATCCATTGGTTTAACAACCCCACCCACGACTGCAGCAGGCAGCATTGCACAGACTGTGTACCTGGCCACTGATCCCTTTTGTGCTCTGTCCTGGGTTAGGCATAGCCAAGCACAAGGCACTTGAGTCAATGCTCCCAAAAGGCTTGTTGGATAGGAAATGGTACAAAAATACGGCTTCATTCATGAGATAGGTGATACACACACAGAGATGGTTAGGGGTTTAACCCAATTCCTAATAAGAAGATTGATGATAGCTAGGTATAGGGCAAAGACTGCTAGAAAGGAAAATTTTGGCCAGGTAGCTTGTACTAAAGTTGTGACAAGCTGAGCTCCTTGTGGCCTAGAACTCTGGTTCAGTCGCAGGGCTCACGCGCTGATTATTCTCTCCTCATCTGATCTGTGTTGTTGAATAGTGAGTGACTCCTATCTGAAGAACATTTTGGGAAATACAGCTTGATTTTGGGAAATACAGCAGATAACTAAAGGTGGTGCTTTTATTGTGAGATAGTGCCACACTGCTACATTGAATATACCAATAGCAATTAAAGAGCCATTGGTGGGGTGAAAAAAGTGGTATGTGGGTGGGGTAAAGTCTAAGGGTTTCTATCTGCTGCTTACTCTTTGCGGTGAACAAGGTCTTCTTAAATTTTTATTTAATTTCAGTGAAGGAGCCCTATTGATGGAAAGACCTCTGTGGTGTGGACTTTTCTCCCACTGAGAAGCAAAAAAATGACTTTTTCATAACAAGCAGGAATAAAAAATGCACATGCAAAGTTTAGAGAAATATTCTTCCACTAACAAGTAAGGATTTACTTCCCTCTGTTTATTTGTTTATAAGCTAAATCAATACAACTCAAGCATCCTTGCTTGTTACATGATCTGATTTTGAAAATTAAGTTCTAGTTAGTATTTGTCATTTTTATATTTAATATATCAATAGTTTAATTGCCACTGAAGTATGCAATGTATTTGACATCGTCTGTACCTATGTTTGCCCTACAACTTAACAGCTGTCCAGAGCAATATATTACTACAAACCATTGAGTTAGAAATAAGCAAGAGTAATCACGAAAGATCTTTGACACAATTGAAATAAAAACTTCAAAAGCAAACACCTGATGCCATGCAGTTTTCTCACAGTCAGTTTGCGCACATTCACAAAACTAAAATAAGATCCCTGCAAGTGCTGAATGTATTGGTTTGTTATGGCAAAGTCCACTCTATTCTACAAGAGAAGAAAAAATAATGCTTTGATTTGCAAGGTGAAGTTCTTACGATATTAGACACATTGTACTGCTACCAGAATTTTCTTACACATAAAAAATAGTATCAAGGATCTCTCCTTCCCTCCCACCAGAGCCTGACCCAATTCCTGTAATTTAACAGACATCTTGGAAGCTCAACTGCATCAAACTTTTTGAGGATACGCACAGTATGTAATATATCAATAGTTTAATTGCCACTGAAATATGCAACGTATTTGACATCATCTGTACCTATGTTTGCCCTACAACACAGAATTCTTGTGCCTCCTGTTTTTTTTCTGAAGAGGCATGTCACACTTCACATTTTACTTAAAACCTAGAAACAGAAGATAATTCAGTAAATGACCTTGACTGTGTAAACAGCCCTTATTACTTTCAAACCTAAAAAAAGCAATAAATAAAAATAGCATTATGTTTTCCAACTACCCAAAAGAGCTTTATGTGTCATCAATATACTTTAAAATCATTTTTAACCGTAACAGGAATTTAAGTGTGCTCTCTTAAAACTTTAGATTATATAAGGATTTTTGAGCATCTAAAACTTTTTTTCCCAGGGAAAACTTAGTTTTATGCTTTCAAAGCTTCTGCTTTTCACATAGACTCCCCCTTTTTCTTTTTTTTTCTGCAAACGGACTTTTTAGAAATCACAAATAATTTTAATGAAAAGTAAAAATGCTGTATTCCTGCCACTTTGAGCTTCTAGCCATCTTGCTGAGGTTCTCTGCACCACTGAGATAGTGTTAATTTCATACATGGATACTAACTTAGGAACTGAACTAGATTGCCAATGCCAATTCTTTTATAACACACAAAACAAACCCTAATAACTTTTACCTGCCTCTAGTTTTACCTAGTCTGCTTAGTAAATAATACTGAGAGTATGAGGAGAAAGGACTACTGAAGGAATGACACAGAATCACATTATTCACTAAGTCCTTGTTAGAGATTTTCTGTGCTTGTTAAAGTATCTTCTCGTTTGGTTACAACCAAACTTTTTTTCTTGTCTTCCTCTGCTACAGTCTGACTCATCTGTTCAAAGAGCTTTGAAATCTTGGCAAACCTCAGGTGATTCTGAAATCTTCGTGCAGCAAAAGCATAAAGTAGAGGGTTAATACAGCTACTGACGAATACAAGTGCTCCAGAGATGTACACTCCTCTGTCCACAACTTCTTCCAGTGCCGAGGATGTTTCCTTGTTAGAGAGCTCTATCTGCATTGAAATAATATCTAGGGTGTTAAAGAGATGATGAGGGAACCAGCACAAAATGAATGCCACCACAATTCTGGCAATGAGCCGTTCCGATCGCCGCTTCGATTGGTAAGTCATTCTGCTTATTCTTCTTGCAACACACATATAACAAGTGCAAATAATTAAAAAAGGGATTACAAAACCTGCAAGAGTCTCCAGCAGAAGATATGAAGCTCTCTGTTTATTAGAAGAGTAGTTGCGACACGTGCACATTAGTTGACCATTTGTTTCTTCTGTCTCTTGAAACGGAATGACAGAAACGCCGAACGCAATAGACAGGAACCAGATGAGGAACATGATTAAACAGATCTTCCTTTTTGTTTTGTATCTTTGAATTGTTAAAGGATAATACACAGCCATTAACCGCTCCAGGCTCAGTGCTGTAATTAGAAATATACTAGCATACATGCTGCAGTAAATAATGAAAACCAGCATTTTGCAGATGATGACTCCAAAAACCCATGAGTCAGCAAAGGAGTAAATCCAAATTGGTAAAGTAATCAGTACAAGGACATCTGCAATGGCCAGGTGCAAGATCAGCAGGACCGAAGGAGATACTTGCTTCATTTTTGCACAAACAGTCCAGATGACGATGCAATTTCCAGGGGTCCCAATAATAAATGACAAGCTCAGTATCACGCAGACCACTGACCTCACAATATTCCACGTTGGGTGGATGTTGCTTTCCTCAGCTTGACTCATTCTGGAAATCCTTCTGTTCTTCTTGGTTGCCAATATCCTTTGTGCTTTGCACTCTGCTTTTATTCTGAAGGTGTTAGTGAACTACTTGAGAGAAGTTCTCTAACGGGTATTCTGTAGACTATATAAGCTCACATCCTTATGCTCACTCTTACAAACATATGACCACATATTGTAGTTCCTGTTGTTTAGGAAGACTGTGCATTTTTGCATACCAAGTGAAAATACAATGTAGCACCTGCCTTTGCTTTTAATTATACATCCATCCTAGATCAGCAGATTTTAAAGCATGGTGGTGGTCTTTCAAAAGTCCCCCAGAAGATTTAAAGAAGCTTGCAACTTTGTTAAAGTTACTAAGCTAATCAACAGCTATGAAGAGAAAGAAATCCTCTTATTCTATTCCACTCATTTGTATGAATAATTCAATGTTTTGTTTTACAAAAACAAAATAAGATGAGTGGCAGATAAATCACAAATGTGCATTATATGTTTGACATGACATTCCATACCAAAGCATTGTGCTTACTGCCTTCATGTCATCTTTTTAAATTCAGCAGAAATGTTAATCATGCTTTAGAAATATGCTGGCATAAAGGCAATCAACATTTGTCCTATAGTGAGACTGTACTGGTACAATAAAGTGGACGGGAGTTGTATTTCTAGTGCTCTGGGAAATCACAGTCCTTTATCCAAATAATAACATCAGAATAGTGTGGACAAAGGGTTTCAGGAGGAAATGACCCGTGTCAGACAGAAACATTGTTGTTCTGCTGTGCCAGCAATGGGCTATGGCTTTACCTCGTAGGAAACTTGGGAGTCAATGCAGTATTCAAATCCTGTGTGAATCCTAAGCTCTTCAGTGTCTGGCCAAAGAATATGAAACTATTGGTTATCCTGATGTTAAAACATCATCTTTTGAAGTCCATTTCTAAAAAGTTAAAGGAGGAACTAAAACAGCAGCACCGGCAGAAATGTTGCAGTCACAGAAGTGAAACTGGAAGGGTATTTTCCACAAAAAAGATGCACAGAAAAAAGGAGTTGTGCATAGTTTGGTCTCTTAAATTTAACACTGTGATACAGACTATTTCCCTAAATGTTGAGATAGAATTTTACAAACCCGGCAAACGTAGCACACAATATTAAGTTGAAAACTACCTTTCACCATGGAAAAGGATTGCAACACCACCACTCCCAAATCAGCTTAGCTGGTTTTGATCTCCTAAGAGTATAATGAGATCAAAAGCAAATCCAGAATAACTCCACTGAAGTCAAGTATTATATTGTCAAAATACTATTTGTGTAAGAAAGATTTTAATTTGGATTTAATCAGATAAATGATTCCAGTTCCTTTTATTTTTAACTAGATTTAACAAAGGTTGGGTAGTGGAAAAACCCAAATCAGTTGTTTGTACTCTAAAGGGAATTTCTGAAAACCACTAGTAAAAATCCACCAATGAAAGAAAGTGCTGGGCAATGCCTCTTCTAATGAAATCACCTTTATAACATCATTATTTCTCCAGAAGTAACTTTGGGAGGGCTTCATATATTCCCAGTGGCATATCTAGACTGAACTAAGTTGCAGATTTTTATTTATTGGAAAAAAAATAATCAAAGAGAGATGCCCAGTACCTCTTGTCACACGATGCTACAGGAGCAGGTAGGTTCTTTAAGGTAAAGCCTGAATCTAGATTATGATTATTGTATCATGTGCTGATTATTAAGAATTTGACCCGATCTGCAGAGGGCACAGGTGACTATAGATAAGGAGGCCTACTCTAGACAGTAAGAAAGCTATACTAATTACAAGAAATTCTACTGAACTGAAACCTATAATTGCTAAAAATTCTGTGCAACAATAAGCTATGCTAGCTGCTAGAAATTGTAGATAACAGTTAGCTATCCTGATAATTAAAATTTTTATGTCGTAATGAAGCTCTAATTGTTACTACAGCCCTGTGGCCAGTCCTCATTCTGCCAAGGAATTCTACCAAAAGAACCTGCATGTCCCTGTCACATTCGGTGACATCTCTGTAAGACTTTCCTCCTTAAATCTACTTTTGGTACAAAGAGCAATTGTCTGTATAATTGCTGATTGGTGTCAGTATTAGTGTAGTTCTAATCCAGTGGTGAATGAATCTGGTTGAACTTCTGAAGCATCTGTCCTTACATTTTTCAGAAACGTGCTTCTTCACTTCAGTTGAATTTTGCTTGCGGGGGGCCCTCTAGCTGTATTTTTCATTTACACAAAAAAACAAATTAATCTCTGAATTGCAGCAACAGCCTGGGATTTCTGTTTCAAAAAAGATTCCAGACAGGTGTTGAAACGCTGACTTCTTTGAGTAAGGCTCTGAAGACAGACTATTAGACTTAATATCACAGACACTAGAGCTAACGTTAGCTGGGAAGTATGTTTCTGAAGTGCTCTATGTGACTGTTGGATTAGTGTGAAAACTTCAAATTGTTTGTAACCTGTCTTTAATGTTCTCTAAAAGTGTCTAACTGTTATTTGTCAGATTTACACTAGCAGTGCACAAACTTTATGGGAAATTTAACAAATATTTCCATTAAAAAGGGAAGCGCCGTACTATGTTCAGTAACATGCTAAACACAACAGCAGCTAAACAACTCCGTATCTTACTCATTCCAGTGGCCAAACGTGGGTGGGGCTTTTAATGTGTCAACATGCAGTTGGGCTTCAGACCTCATAAGCTCTCGTCTAACTCTATTAACAGCAGTGAAATTTGGCTGCATTGCTCTGGAAAAAAAAAAAAAGTCTAAATCTATCATGTTTTTTTGTGCATGCATATTGTATGCAGTGCAACAGTTCAGTTATTAACATGGGAAACTTTGTTAAGTCTGTTACCTTTAGATTGGCAAATAACTTCTGAGAACTTTCCAAGCTCAAGAATTCTGTGCTATGCTAAGAAACATTTTGAATAGAATTTGCTTTGGCTTGAATATGAGGGGGATGTTTCATTCATCCTTCAAACTATTGATTTTCCTTTGTATGTTTGCATGAGCTTCCCTCTGGTGGTTGGTCTGTAGTTTACACGACTACTGCACATTTTCAGACAGCTGTGTTTGGACCACTAAATGTAAATTATAATTGATATTTCCAGCTTTTGTATGTTTATTCTGAGAATCAGATTTTTGCTAAAAGATGCAGAGAGTCTTTGTGCTAACAGCCCCTGCTCAAAGTGCATCCTCTCCTCCGTGCAGGAGGAGTCTGCCTGTCACAATTCACAGGGTGCTGAGGCATGGGAAATCCCTATTGCTTACCTTGTACAAATAGCTGTACCAAAAAAGAACTTTAAAATCCTCTCTATTTTTTGTCTTCAGAAGGATCCTCTGGATGCTTATCTACTAACTGATTATAGGCTAATGATCACCAAGTATCATGTATCTGCGGAGACACTGGAAACAGATGTTAGTAACCTTGTTTGCCTGCTAATGCTGAGGAGAGGAAGTCACCAGTCCAACCCTTTTAGCCCTGCAGCCTTGAAATGGGACGGTACTTGCAGGATCAGTATAGCTGCCCTACAACGGGACAGTACTTGCAGGATCAGTATAGCTGCCTCACAACGGGACGGTACTTGCAGGATCAGTATAGCTGCCCTACAACGGGACGGTACTTGCAGGATCAGTATAGCTGCCTTACAACACACCCCGTTCAGTGGTGCCAGTGCGAAAGTGGCGTGTTTTGCCTTGATCAGAGAATTATGTTCACCAGTTCATAGCTGATCTAAATGTTGCCTTCTTGATCACAGGAGGGTCTCCTGTATAAACAGGATCTGACGGGTGCGTGCAGCAGCTAATAATGTCTCTGCTCTGCAACTACTGCAAAGGAAAGTGCAGTGTAGGAAAAGTCACGTACCAGACATTTCTAAGGTCTCGCAAACACGGCTTGTGACAGCAGCCCGTGAGGCAGCAAGTACAAACAAGAACACTCTCAGTGCTTCTTTATCACCATGGAAAATAACTTAGTGAAGAGCCACCCTGGGATCACTTCCAGAACATAATAAAAGATGTGTACCTTGCACTATAAATAGAAAGTTTGAAATATTCTTTGCTGTGTGTATTGTTGTTAGTCAGTCTTCTAATAATATTACAAAATTATATCCCTTACCCAGCTCAGTTGCAAATAATGATAGTTTTTGTACCACTGGCCAGAGAAATGATGCCCTGTTTGTTATGTTCAGGGAAAACTGCTTTAGAATTGGTGCTCAGAGGAGCACTTAGAAGGCACCTGCGGTACGTGCATCAATACACGCTCACACATTGGTAGCTTTCTCACCCAGAGTGATCACAGACAATCAGTACACGTTTCCAGCAGTTGTGAAACTATTCAAGTATATGGTGAAATACTTTTCTTGTACAACCAGACATACCAGGTTCATGAGAGTAGAGGTGCTAATTAAGATAGTGGAGAACTATATTTATAATTCTGACTGTAAGCAGGAATATGAATAACAATTATGCAGAGATTATGGGAAAACTTAAAAATATCTTTTCTCAACATTATTATGAATGTATATAATTTTAATTAGTAAATAAATAGTACATAGTACAAGCTTTCAAACAGTAAATGTATAGATTTCTCACAATTTAAGGTGAGACTTTGGCCTGTTCTAAATCAGCTATCACTAAGTTGCAATTTGTAGCAGTTGCTAGCCAAAATTCTTACCTACACAAGCACATGGGGCACCCCAATTGCTACTGGGTAAATCAAACACACCGTTTACATACTCCTCCTTTTGAGTAATACATTGCTGATAACAAATACTGCTTGGATGATTTGCTGCCAAAAGTTACTTGTTTTTTTGATTTTTCTTTATCGTTTAGCTAAACCTACTGTCATTGCTACTTTGTTTGCAGGGATTCCATGTAAATATTATATTACTATAGGATCAACCTCTCTCTTTGCTATTCAGCAGTGTAATGAAAGAAATCCTTTAGCAGTGCATCTCTAAGTGAAGGATCTCTGATTAAAAAAACACAAATGTGCCACAAGCGGTAGCTGTTGTTCTGCATGTAAATCAGGCATATGCTGTCTCCTATATCATACTCTTATGTAAAAGGATCTGTCTGGGTAGTTATATAT